TTTAAAGGATAGTTTTCAGTAATTAGATTTTACGTGACGCTCTTCATTATAATTTATTCTGAGTACTGGGACATAAATTATATTAATGTAACTTGTGATTATTAAACACTACTTCAAATTAAGGTTATCGATGCGGCAAATAAGGATGCTAGAAAGCACACAGATTTATGGTTAATTTACTATCAGACACGAGTTAAAAATTTAAAAAAAATAATAATAATAAATGTATTTTAGAGTTTAATACTTGACAACACTATTTAAATTTTGTGAAAAAATAAATAATAAATAATTCAAAATTCTAAATGGGTAAAAACATGTATATTTTTTTTATTTATGTAAAGGATATTATCCTTACAATATCCATTCATAAATAGTGAGATTTTAGAATATTTTATAATGTAAAAAAGGGAGGAAAGAGCATTGGTATGCACAGTTATTTTTTGAGAGCTTAAATAGCAGATTTGTATGTAAGATGCGATGAGGGAGAAGGAATTGTCGGGAACAAAAGGAAGCGTGGCATTTCGAGTCAGTCGGAATGTAAATATAGTATCTGTACAAGCTAAATGGAACGGTAGATTTGATGTAAGGAGATCTTTCGGTCTGTGGGTCTGGTAACGTTTCATTACATTGTCAAATTTTCGGCGTTACTGTTCGTCGCATCAAATGTGGAATGCGAGATGCGCTTTTAGGGATGCGGAAGAGAAAGCCGTTTATGAGAGAAACGGAATGTATACAGACGAAAGATCTGTCGAGGTCGGAGAATAACCAGGTATTTCTGTGCCGATGATCGAGTCGGATGATGGAATGTTATTGTCAGAGCCAAAACAGAATGGTTGCATCGTAGATGAAACCGTTTTTTGGTATAAGTAGACGAGATACATTTCTGGTTATTGCGCTTCCATTCTCTGCAATGATAACGTGGAGTTGAGGGTGTTTTGTATACCAAATTTAACTCATGTTCCGTATTTGATACAAATGCTTTGATTATATCGAGAAAAAAATCAATGTGAACTTTGTAGCATTCGCTTTTTTTTATTAGATTTTTCTGAATTTCTTTCTTGTAAACTTTGCCTTCTTTTTTTATTAAGAAAATTCAAGAGTTAGCTTTTTATTGATCCAATTTTACAGCTTATTCTTTATATTATATTGTTTTATTTTTATGATAAGATGGTTAAAAAATAAAATTTTATTCGATCGTTGACTAAACAATTGAACCGAATCAGATTTTATAGTAACAACTCTTATCCAACTATCCACAATTTTTTATCCCTCAGACAAGAGCATTATTCAACGAGATACGCTCAGAAACATATAAGTTCTACACATATTTAAGTATCGTAGATAAGAAATATTACCTTCAATACCCATTTTTTTCTAAGAAATCAATAAAAATAATATGAAAACTGTCGAAGCAAATCTTATGTAACGTTAATAATAATAATAATAATAATAATAATTTCTATTACTGTAAAATAATATAATCAGGCAGAAAATATTTTAAAAAAGTGCAAAATCGACATAGATTTTTGTTTTATATCTTCTGGAATCGGTAATAAAAGTAGGAAAAAATGCTTACTGATAGATATTTGTGATAGAAGTGGAGAAAAAGCCATTTAAAGACGTTTCCTGTCCCACCATTCATTCAATGCCAGCATCAAATATATTTTACACTTGACTCAAACAAGAATGTCGTTGTTGCTTAACGCTACATTTCTCCTATAGAGTATTCTGTAGTAAGATTTCGTTTACCTTGCTACATAAACTCTCTTTCCTCCTTTACGCCATCCCATAATAACCTAGAGAATTTTCCGGCTAAGTATCCTAAAAGCCATCATTGTTCTATTGGTTCCTTGTAAGCAGAAGAAGCACGAATACTCGAAACGACATTTAAGAACAATGAAGCGGCCATTGAATTGGTCACTTTAAACGTTTCTCCTAAGATTATTTTTATGAAACAATTTACGATGCTGCAATCACCCACTTGCAATACAAATTGATAATTACACACAGATTAAATTCGTTATCGTCCCGGTGATTTAATATCTTTTCTAACTTTTTCTCTTGATTTTTACACCTTTATAAATTAATCATCCGGTGTCACATTATCACTTAAAATATATTAAAGTTGTTTCTTACGTTTTCTGTATATTAATTTAGGATATCAATCTTAATATTTGCGGAATTTCTTCTTAAATTATAACAATTTCGACTGGAATATTTACAAATAAACTACTTAAAATTCACTAATTATGTATGGTGAAGCGTGAACATGCAGTTAAGTTGTAAAATATATAAATAATTTAAACTAGAAGTTTATTAATTCAAACATCTTAATTTATAAATTAATCCATTTTCATAAATACATACATAAAAGCAATTACTTTTATTTACGTATAAACATAAGGATTTAAGCTTTAAATGCATCTTATACGCGTAATATAGAAAATATGTGAGTAAATGACGCCGATCCCTTTATAATCTGCATAAATTATTCATCAGTTTATAAAAGCTTGGACAAACACACAAAATTTAAATATGTAAACCGAGGATAATCTAGGAGATCGGAGGCCTTTATCATGTGTTTGACAAAAAAATTGAATCTAACTCGATCTGGATGTCATCTCGAGTGACACGACGTAACGGTACCCGTATCACGTGTCATAGAAGAGAAAGACTCCCGGATGTCATTACAAAATCGTGCCATTATTCTTCTTCGCACAATTAGTAGGTATTTATGACGTTATAAATAAGAGTTAATGCAGTGTCATACGGTGTAAGAGCAATTATATAAATCTAATTGATATGAAACACAATTGGACGGTGAGAACAATTATTGGCAACGTCAACAAAATAACAAGGTGCTGGCTTCTGTTGTACATCAGACGAATTGACCCAACTTCCATTCCCTTCAATTACACAATGAGAATACTAAAGAGTAGAAGGCGACTGCTCCTACTGCAGACAAGCACTATTTACATATCACTTACAATACTAGTTCACTTTTCTGCATACAAATGGAACATTGCACACTCCTGATGTTAAGAGAAAATATTTGCTTATACAATCGTCTCTTATACAACCCGCTCGCTCCCTTTTATGTGAACAGAAACGAAATACCATCGTTCTCAACTCGACATCCACAACAGAAACAATACAAGAAATTGAGAACTGTAACACTCTACAGAATTTTAACGACATTTTTNACTTTATATAAATTAAATATTTATACATTTTTTTAAAATAAAAAAATCGATTAAAATGAGAATTTTTAATTACGCCAACGTGACTAAATTATAACAATTTTATACGCTGAAGCTTAAGAAATGATAATTCTCGATCGTTTCTAATTTTAAAACTTCAATTAAATAAAATGAAGATAAATTAGTTAAAATTATAATTAAACTAGATGAATATTGATAAATTAATTTACAAAACGAAATATATATAAGTGAGAAAACTAGTAGAAAAATCTCTCTCTCTCTCTTTCCTCTCTTCTCTTCTCTCTCCACTCTCGCTTCCTATTTTTTTATATTTACACGTTTCGATGTAAATTAAATATTTAGAAAATGGTAAAAGTAAAAATTTCAAGTAAAAGAGAACTTGCCATAATTGATTAAACGTATCTTGGGTCAAGTTTTAATGTGGAAACACACGGCGAAACATGTAAAGTGTATCTTACTACTAATGTGGTCGTGTCCCTCGAAGATTACAATATTCTAAGGGGACCATTTATAGCCAGGATTAAGATATTAATGTAGAGGGAAGAGGGATAACAACAGATGTGTTCGGTAATGACATCCCAGAAACTCAATCTGTCTCTACATTGGAACAGACTGTTTGATTCAAATTTAATTGCTTCCGTCTCATATATGTATCAGTTTATCTGTAACGAAGCAGATGTGCACTACAGGATTAAAGAGAAAACACATTTAAATATCAAACTAGTTCAGACAAGACGATACTATCTTAATAAATCTATTTAAATTCTCCCTTCATGAATACAGTCAGGAAATTACTATTTTCTATCTCTCTCCTCTCTCTCTCTCTCTCTCTCCAGTATCAGTCCGTTAAGAAATGTTACATATATGTATATATATACACATATACGTGTATGTATATAGTAGATACGTCTTCTATGTTTTATTACAAATTTTATTTTCCGTTTAATTTATAAATTACCAAGAGATTTAAGTGAAAAGGTTTGTGTGAAGTCATTACTTTAATTAATTTGGAAGCTTTGGTAGAGGAGAAGAAAGTTCCTGGATAAACTTGGGTACGTTAAAGCATGATTTGCATTTAAGTATTGGTTTGATCTTGCAGAATTCTTCTTTATTTGTTTAACTTTTAGAAAAATTTCTTTACGAGACAGTTAAAATTTATTAAAGTAAACCTTAAATGAACACTTCCGAAGATATAAATACTAAAATTTCAATATAAATAAATTATTTTACTTGTTATAAAGTTTATTAATTAATTTTAAAGTTTAATATCTAAATTTAAAGATAATTTTTTTTAAAAAAAATAAGAAATTGAAATGAATATGAAAAAAAATTTTTTTTCTACATAACCATAAACATTGTTACAATCTCTCAATTTAATGTTCAAATTTATGTATATATAAATATAAATTTTATTCGGCAGAAGAATTATTGTTAAAATATTTTCAGTGCTTTTATCAAAAGATTAAAATTAGAATATTTATCTGTCATTTCACGTTTGATTTTTTACGAATTAAATCGTTTCGTTAATGGATACTCGCATTAAATAAATGGATAACAGGTTTTCTAAATTGCAATAAAATCCAAGAAAATAATATCGTAAATGGTGTAATAAAAATATATATGTATATGTACGTAGACATAATTTTTAACATAAATGTTATATATATATATACACATATCTTTTTTTATTTTTAAACGAATAATTTATATTTTTGAATTTCACATTTTGTACATATTTTTTATTCTCTGAAAAGTATTTTTTTTTTCCTTTACCAGATTTTTCTCACAATCCATGTTTTAAAAATGATTCCTCTTTACATAAACACGCGATAAGATTTTGCATAACTACTTCTTTATACGCTTTACTCTTCAAAATCGCATGTTTACATCACGAAAATAGTTCTAACCGAAAATTTTCTTTAGTTTTTCATGAATTTTAAGGAGTTATTCTGAATATCTCTAACTTTTTTCGATATTCAATAATGTTTGTTTGGATTTTATATATATATATATATTATTTTTAAAGGTTTCTTCTTCATTTATGTTCTCGTTGTTTTTTACATCCTTTAGTATAAGATTAAATAGAGTCGGATTCGTTATGATGAACGTCTATTTATCACAATTTCGATCTAGAGGGAAAAAAATCAAAGGAAAAATCAACATTCTTTAAAACATTCCAATCCTGACAAGTTAAATCAACTCGGACTTTGTCTAACCAATAAGAGTAGAGAAAGAGCAAAAGAATGACAACCGTCGATTCTGAAGTTCGGTTCTACTTTGTTTGAAAGAGATTTAGTCAGAAAGATTCTCACAGATCAAGTTGTCGACCAAACCACAATGAACGTGGGATCAAAATCGTATTCCTAAAGGAAGTAAAAGCTCAATGTTAAAAAAAATGAATAGGTATAAAAAAAAGGAGAAAAAAGGCACTTTCATTTACCTCAGTTTTGATGTTCCCAAAGCGTAACTGCGCTGACAAGTATAGAAAATAACATCGAAATTTGAGGATTTGAGTTGAATTCTCTACGGTAATAGAAATAGGTTCGAATTTTTTCTGTTTTTTTTCTAACGAATTTAAGAAAAGATGCTATCGAACTATTGCTTTAATGTTCGAGGAGAAGAAACTCTTTCATAACTTAAAAAAATAACTTTTTTTTTCGATACTGATAATTCTGCTTTCCTCGTTATTTTATTAATATAATTTTCTTTATAATTTAAGTATTAAAATATATAATAAAATTTTAAAATAAATATCTTCGATATTTCTGCATATATGTATGTATATATATTCTTTCTTTAATAGGAAAAGAGATTTTTCTACATTTTATCTTCTGGTCCATTTCTTCAGATTCAAGCAGGAGAGATGAATTGCAAATAGTCTGGATCCAGAGTAATTTCCTGAACTCCTGCTAAGAACTGCAATCCATCTCTTAGAAACACTTTTTCGCTCCAACAAGTCTTTGGACAGACTTCCCTTCATAGTTGTTTTGCTTCCGCAAGAGCAAACACTAGACAATATTTCAATCTTGGATCTGACATTCCCTACAAACTTAAACCTACGACTTGTTCCCACGTGGAAAAAACCACCAATATTATTTCCATAGTTTGAAAGAAAATATCAAAGGAAAATAAAATTTTTATATTTTATAAAAAAAAAAGAAAGAAATAATAATAATAAAGAAAAAACTTTAATCTGCTCATAGTTCTGTTTTTAAAAACAAACGTTCTAAACTGTTTAGTAACTAATCAAAATATAGGAAATATTATAATTTGATAGTTTTTTAAGACGTTAAATATTTATTTTTACACGAAAAGAAATGAAAATGTTCGATTTGTTACCATTGGAAACATTATAACTTTCAAATGTTTTGTAAAGCAAAACGGAGTGCGCCTGTAAATAATACTTCACTGCAGTATACATATATCATGAGGAAAAGACTAATCTATAATTTATATAGTTTAATTTTCGCTTTAAATTATAAATTAACATAGAATAGCCAAATAAAACTTTAAATAAACAAATAAATAATTTAAAGCAATTGTAATATAATTTTCATAATGCTTAGAATACATTTAAATTTAATAAAATGTAATAAAAGAAATGTGTAGATGCCTTAGGAAAAATCAGAAACCTTTATTCCGTACGTTGATAAATATTAAATATTTAAAAATATTTGATCAGGTCAAACTTAAGAAGAGTAGAGTAATGACTAGAAGGCAACCCGAGGGTAAAAACGAACTATCTCTCGTTTTCTTGTATTTAGTAAGGTATCCAATACTTTTCTGGACACCAACACTTTAGAATAGCTAAGGTTATGACGACATAATGGCCTATAAAACCACACGAACTAATGGTAAGGCGTAACCACCATGGATCGTTACAAAGTCAGCGAGTCTCCAAGGCTGGAAGCTAGTCATAAAATCACTATTATGTTTCCTATTTTATCTATAAGACTTATCGATATCACGTGACATACGTGACGTTAATTCTTTAAAACGAGAAAGCTATTCACGCAGACAATTGATCCAGTAACGATAAGACCAGCGAAAGATTCGGATGCTTACAAAGTATAATAAAGATATAATTAGAAAGAATTATTGTTTAAACATCCCACTCGAAACAGATAAATTCTTCTTTTAAGAGTCGAAAGTATTAGCAAAAACCATTAAACTTTTAAATATAATTAAAATATGTTTGGTTATTGTAATTTAGAAATTGTTTCATTAATAATGTAATCAAAGAGGAAGAGAAGGAGAGAGATTTATACATGTCTATATACACAGAGAGAAGAGAGAGGATAGTTATTAACATTCGCAATCGCATCTAGTTTTAATTATTATTCAGTTAACCTCCTTAAGCGCATCTTTAGTAATAATAGAATGAATCGATTATATATTAAATACTCATCCTTTAAATTATATTGTGAATATAAACATAACATAACCATCGGAGTGAGTAAGTTACGGTATAATAATCAATATAACTAACAGGTGAGTCACATTTAACTGTTACTGGAGTGTAGCCGCAACATAATGAGATCATTATGAAATATCTAGTCTTCACTTGTCTTACTGTCAGACCACTGTAAATTAAAACATCCAAAAGCTTGTAGTATGATGCCGAACAGAATACGAGGGCAAGATGGATTATACCATTACCTACCACCTATTCAGCTGGTAATGGGTCAATTAAGTGAGACTAGCCACTGCCCCGTGATAGACCAGGATCATTAGTCGTTGCCGTGCTATAAAATTCACTTCCCTAGTCCGGATTCTACTATATTCCTCTGCGTCATGCTCGTTGGATTGTTCATCTATCATTTCCTCTTATCTCTTCCTCTCTGCACCTTGTGCTCTAAACTACACAGTTACAGTCATCGTCACTCACATTCACATTCCTGAGCACGAACGGTTCACATTCTCCGATGCTTGAATAAACCTTCTCGTTAATTGTCAACCAACATTAGTTCGTCTTTTAGCATACTTGCACGTCTTCGTCCACTCTTCTTTGTTGGTTTTGCCTTTATCGTTCTGAAGAACGACACAATTCTATTGTAGCAAAGTTTAAACTAACGATCTTATAAATTATTTTAGTTGTTGGGATATTGAATTGTTATGAAGCGTGGTCTCTAACACTTTTATCTGCTTTTGCTATCGGAAATGATAGTGTTTACATATTGATTTATCGAGTTGCGGGTTTTATCTTTGCTTCGGTTTATTTTACATCGCTTCTACAAATTACATTCGAAGAAATTTCCAATTTAATTAAAAACTTATACGCAAATAACGTCTTTTATATATCGGTTTATATGAAAAAATTAAATTATTACGTTAGATAATTATGTAATTTGCTTTGATTATCTTTAATATAGTAAATAAAGTAAAAATTTAAATTGTAAATACGTTCTTTGCATTGTTTATAACTTCAGATTTGGGGAGGAAGCCTTTGGAAATCTTACTTTAGAATTCAAATGGAATATTACTGATTTGATTTACGGTTATCATTATACTTTTTTTTCCTCGGAAAGATTTTATTTATATTTCTTCCTCTTATCTTGGAGGTGTTTTAAGCTGATTCTTCTTCGAGGGAAATGATAAAGGAAACGCTACTTAATCCATTGTTTATATAGTAACTTTCCTCCTACATTGAAATGACATTATAGAAATATAGTAGGAGAGAAAACTAAAGTACACAAGCTTTATTACGGACATTTGTTTGAGATGATCTATGAGTAACTACTCAAAGTAAGGACGAATTTTGTAAGAAGTAGATAAAGATAAAAATGATTGCTTCTTCATATAAAAAATTCCTGAACTCAGAATAGATAGTGGAAATCGAAAAAGTCACGTGCCAAGTCCTTAAGACCATCAACCATTAATGATCCAAATATTTGTTATTAGCGATATTTATTTTTATGATATCGAGTTAGTTGATATTTCTACTCCTCTATGACGGTCTCTCAAATCTTTAGAGAAGACCCATTTCCAGATGTTGTAACTCCCAAACTTAGATCTATCCTGTTATCCATCAAATGTCTACACCATTTGTTTTCCCTACTGACACTTTTCTCCTGAGAGGTCATCTAAAGCAGTTTGCACAATAGTTTACTTTTCTCCAACACTTTAACTTTTTTTAAAACGTGAAAATTCAAATAAAATAAATGAGAGTAGTTTCATTATCTGATAATGAGTAGTTTGTTTCAACCTTTTGATCTAGGAAATTTACAGTGAAGTATCATTTACAGGGGCTACTCTGTAATGAGAACAATTTCAAATAATACCATATTATTTAAGATTTAATATTCTGGAGAATATTAAAAGAAAAATATCCNATTAAATATAAATTTTTAATTGATTAAAATTTTTATATATATATATTTTATTTACAAAAAAACAATTTAATAGAATTTTAAATATTTCATTGTAATTAATTAATTAATTATAAAGTTAATTTAACTTTATAATTAATTGTTTCCAGTATAAATATTAAGAATAAGAAAAAGGAACAGGAGAAATTAAATAAATAAAGGAAGCTATAAATTTATATATGCTGTAATTTATTAAAAAAGATGGAACAAATATACAAATAAGTAGAACAATCAAAATGGATTTATAAGAGGTTAAAAATCTGGATACCTAACTGGATTAAACATACATTACAATCAAATTTAGATTCAGAATAAATCTTCCAACCATTATCATCCTGCTCTTCCCTTTCAGAGAACAAAATAGATTTAGAAACTGATCGTTAGCTGAATGATTTTATTTGATACTCTATCACTACTCTTATATAATTTCTTTTACTCCTTTATTTTTATTATTTTTTTAAAAAAAGTTTTTAATCTTTTCTCATAATAATTCTTACTCTTTTCTTCACAGCTAAGAAGGAAAATAATCATAAATATCCACTTCTTAATTAACAAAACTAATTAATATATGTATTAATTAATATATTTCAATTAATTTTTATAGTTTTATTTATAAAAAAAATTGAAATAAAAATTCTAATTTAAGAAATATATGTTTTAAGTATATGATCTTGAGTTAAAGCAATTATAAAAATAATAATTTAATGATTTAATATTTATATTAAATTAGAAATATTATACTTAAATATTTTTTTAGTTTCTATTATTTAAAATTTAATTAATTTTATTAATTCTAATTGCATTTTTCTCAATTTTTCCTTCTTTTATAAGCCTTATAAACTAATTTATCAATATATTATAAATGTATTTTATCTATAATCTTATATAATAATTGATAACCATTATCTGATTAAGTAGACCGGTTGTAATCTATTATTATACAGTATTTAAGGTAATTATATGTAATATTATCATTGACTTTATAGAGTTTATTAAGTTAATAATTTTACATTAAACTATATATGTACTACTAGATAGGTTCTAGTATAGAATTATGATACAAGATATATCTGATAGCTATTACTAGATTCTACATAAATTAGAATAAAGATAAATATATATATTTTTTCCTTCCATTAATACTTTGCTAGCCATATATATATAGATAATTTCATTTTCTTCAATTGAAAGGATGTTAGTGCCATCTGTGAACGAAAAACTAAATTATTATTTTTAAAAAAATATATAAATATAATGACTTAATTAATTATATTACATAAAATAAATAATTTAAAATATATATATAAATGATGAAAAATAATTTAC